TTATTTTTAAGGTCCAAAGATTCTCATGATTGAACAGTCAAAAAGCTGGCATATTGAATATATAGAATATAAGAAAATAAATAATAAATAATAAATTAAAAAAAGAAGAAGAATGTAAAAATTTTCAGTTTTAATACTTAAATTCTTTCAGGATTGGTTGTTTTTATTATATATTATATTTTAATCATCCATTTTATTTATTTATTATTAATTTAATATTATACATATATATATATATATATATATATATTTACACTTAGGTTTCCTTATCTATTTATATTTATTTTGCAATTACATTTTTTAAAAGATGTTTTTGTATTTTCTGTGACAATGTATCCCAGAGTTTCCCCTAACCATACCATTTTATCTGATGCTTAGTTCTGGTATTTGTTTTGGAGTTTTATTTGCTTTTTTAAACACATTTGTCCTGACATAAACTACATTCTTGGGGCGTACTATGTACAACATAGTATTTGGCATAGAAATGCTAAAATGTAAGAGATTGAAATTCCACTACATCAGCTACTAACACATTCTGTCTAACCTAAGTGATATGGATCTTTAAAAATCCATGTCGCTAACATTGTGTGCCTTATGAATGTTATGTGTGCCTACACCCTCCACCAGGAGGCTGACCTGGCTGTGGCCCCACTGACCCTCACTGCAATCAGAGAGCAGAGTGTGGACACGACCACTCCCTTCATGCAAACAGGAATCGGCTTCCTGCTGCACAAAGACATGGCCTCTGAAGAGAGCACCTTCTGCCTGCTGTCACCCTTCTCTACTAACATGTGGGTCGGTGTCCTCATTGCATTCCTGCTAACAGGTCTCTGCATATTCCTGGTGGGAAGGTAAGTGCAAGCTTCAAAAGGTCTCCACAAACTGTTGACTGTTCCATCTTTCCATTGTTTTTCTACAGTCTACATTAGAACCAGGGCTGTAGCTACCTGCAAGGGTGCAGATCTCATTAGAACTTAGACGGGGACCACATCAATGTCTAAACGTTGATACATAACCACGCAGTATTGAAGAGTGAAAGTCTTGAGTAGTTGAGTAGTACCAGGGAATGAATATAGAACTGTTAGTGAACAATTAGGTAATGAGTAACTCTTAATCAAGATAGATTATAGAGTAGCTAATGATTAGTTAATGATTAGTCAATTAAGAAACAAGTAAAGAACAAATCAGGGACAACTTGATAATTGATGAATCATTAATAAGTAGCTCCCTAATAATTTCTAATGGAGGACTATATAGTAGATAATGATAAGTCGAGGTAATGATTCAGTACTCAGTGACAACTCTGTATGGTGCACCACTTTACTTTAGGGGTCACAAAAACAGTAAGTAGTGTTTCAGTAATTGGTAATGAATGATTCGTTAGTAGTTTTCTGCTGTTGACTGGCTGGTTCAGATGAAGAAAATGGTCAGAATGATAGTTTCATAAATAAAACCTAAAAAAAAAAAATTATTAGAAGGGGCAATTTCGTGTTTTTCAGAAGTTGGAGGGGTCCCCCCCCCTAGGGCTACCACGACACAGAGGTATTGCTTCTGGGTTTCCAAAAAGAAGCCTTTGTATGAAAAATTAAATAAAAAAAAAAATAACTTATCCCCCATCTACATTTTTAATTAATTTAATTTACATGATGTTAAGTAATATTTATATGAAATAACTTAAAATAAATAAATAAATAACTTAAATATAGCTGAATTACCTTATTTTACGTGTCTCAACATTGAGACAGCAGTTGAGGGACGTGAACAAAAGTGGTGTTTGGACCCAAAAAAGGCCTCACCAATTTAATTTCATTATTTAGTAATTGTTTTTTATGTCGAGATGTGTAACACACTTTGTATATTTTTATCTAGCATCATGTAAAAAATGTTGGAAAAATGCCTGTAGTTGCAGAAACACCAAATATTTTAGCAAACACAGGGTGCCCAGTTAGCTCAGTGGGTAGAGCTGTCTACCCATGTACTGAGGCTGAGGGTTTGAATCCGACCTGCAGCCCTTTGCTGCATGTCATCCTCTCTCTCTGACCCCCTTTCCTGTCTATCTTCAGCTGTTTCTATCCTAAAGGCAATAAAAGCCAAGAAATATACATATATATTTTTTAGCAAACACGTGTGCAGCTTCAACAGTGCTGGTTATAAGGCCTTTTATTTCTCTGCAGGATCAGCCCCGCTGAATGGGCTGAGCCAGAAACAGAGGAGCACAACTTCACATTACTGCACAGCTTCTGGTACATCACAGGAGCTCTCACCCTGCAAGGTAATACAACAGTCTGCTGAACTGAACCACGGGCGCAGAAACACACTGCTGCTGCCTGCCTCTTTCTGTACGCTCCCTCACAATGCTGTACTGCAGCCTAACTATTGTGTGGTATGTTACAATGCCTCTGACACACGTTTCACAGCAAAACTTGAGTGTGCAAAACTCATAAGCCATACTGACTCGTTCTTCTTAAAATATGTCAGTGTGGTGGCTCGAGGTGTTTTGAATAAATACTCAAAGTTTGTGGTAGACAGAACAGAAAAGGTACACTGATGTATGACACACAGTCTTATCTTCTATATTTGCCATTTACTGTAGAGTAGTGTAACAGTGGTTCCCAACCTGAAGATTTATTGCTCATTTAATACATTAATAAATACAGAAGGCATACATCTCAGCATTTCATTCTTTTATTAATTTCTATAAAGAAAATTAAATAAAAATTTTTTTTTAAGGTTTACATTGTTGGGTTGGGAACCACTGCTCTATAATAAATTATCTATATTTAGTTACACAGTAGATTCAATAAAGAATTTCAAAGGGGATGGGGTATTTGTATAATCTTAGAGGACCTTATGAGAAAAAATGTTGACAGAATTATTTGATTAGAACCATTTTGTTTTGAAATGCAACAATAATTAAAATTTAGCTTAATGATGAACATATTCAGTGTTGTGAGGCTGCATTACCTCTTTCGATCCAGTTTTTCACTTCACTACATTTTATTCAGTCTCGTATTAGGGGTTTTGCAAACTGAATTGTAAAAAGAGTCAGAGCAATCATAAAATACATAATGTATCATTGTACACTGACTTCATCATACAAAATTGAAGGTGGTGATCATCATCATCAGTAAACCGGTCTTCACTGTTTTTAAACTGAGAATGAATTTATATTATTAATATTTATTTATTTGAATGACTTATTAGTCAATTTTACTGTACATAAGTTTTATTTTTTACGTGTAGCATAAAAAGGAACTACAACCTGAATTGCATCATACAACCCTGCTTTGTCCTGGAGCTGCAGCCACTTGACTGCTGTCATTGTCCCCTCAGGTGCTGGTCCTCACCCTAAAGCCCTATCTGGACGGCTAGTTAGCGCCATCTGGTGGCTGTTTGTTATACTGCTGCTGGCCTGTTACTTTGGCAACTTCAACTCCATGTTGCACTCCAATAACAAACACGTCTCCATTAAGACCTTTGAAGACCTTGCTAACCAGGACGCCATCGATTATGGCACGGTCGAGGGTGGATCCACCATGCTTTTCTTTAAGGTAAATTCAGCAGCTCCTAACTAGAGTTTACAGCTGGTTCCTAACATGCGAGATAGGTTCATATGACTGAGTGGAAGGCAACATGTGCTCCTGATATCTTGCACACTCAGAACACAGTGTCGAGCACAGGGGAAGATTCAAATGTTTTATTTTTCTACTTTTCTTTCCCAGTTTTCAAATAACCCTGTGTACCGGCGTATGTACGAGCACATGGAGCGTAAGAAGAGCTACGTGTCCAGTATGGAGGAGGGCGTTCGCCGCTCCCAGGAAGGAAACTTTGCCTTCATTGGTGAAGCAGTGTCCTTGGATTTGGCAGTGGCTCGCTACTGTAAACTGACCCGTTCACAGGAAGTCATTTCTATGAGAGCCTATGGCATCGCAGCACCTCTGGGTGAGTGGCTTGGACCTTTCGGAGCGTTTTGGATGATCAATTTATTAAAAAGGACCAGAGTGTAAATCTAGATTCAACCAACTGAAACCCCTTGACTCATCCAAGTGTGAAGGAGAAAAGTGACTGTGTGATAATGCATCCACTATCAATAACCATATTTTATTATGTTCACACCAAATGCAGGTAGCTTTGAGAAAATAAAAAGCAAGGGCTGACCTTTCAACCATTACGCTGTACACACTTAAAGACTGCTTCTTCCCTTAGGCTGTGACACTGTTACAGTCTTCCTCAACAAGTCATCATACAAATTAGTGATCAATCAATATTATACAACTATATCTAAATTTAATTCTACAATCTTGTGTTGTAAATGACAATAAAATAACCTTAAATCCTTGAATACAGCCAACATTAGCAATGTGTGCATATTAACCATACACAACAGTGGCAGCAGCGGTCACAATAACAGATGGCACAGATGCCCATAAAAATAAAATAACTTTAGACTTTTTATTATTGGGATTTTAGAAACAGAGAGAAATGTGGATTACAATGAGCACCATGGACAGTACCATGGATTTAAACAACAACCTGCTAATAGCTACTGTTCATGGTCGAAATTGTGAATTTGACCAATAATCTGCTCAAACCTCAGTCAGATAAAGGATGAAAAGGCAGACTATAGCAGGTAAATGAGTACAGTTTGACACGTTGGATGCCCACATAGGGCAACAAACTACAGGTGTGCTAAGTCTAGCAGTAACGTGTCGGTACTATAATAACCAGCAGACACGGCAGTCTACAAAACAAGCAGCAACACAACAGTATTTCAGAATAACTTGTGAATTTATAAAAACAACTTACCTGTCATATTTTCATCCAGCAGCTGTCACTTTGAATCCAATCCAGAAAAATGACAAATCCATTGTAGCGTACAGGAAATGTCCACTGTTCAAAAACTCCAGCAGCTAACATTGTCACTGTCTCGGCTAGCAGTAGAGCTAACAGCAGCAGGATGATGTCCAGACATGGAGGGTTCAGTAGTTGACAAAGAGAAGTCTGTGAGGGAACAGGAGGTCATAAATTCTTCCTCTCCTCTTTCTCTTTACTGCTCTTAGCACTCTGATTTCAGAACAATGTGAGCTCAAGCTTTTTTTCTTTCGACTTTTATTGTTTATTGTCTTTTATCTAAGACCTCAAAAAGAAATCTATGGAAGCCCATATCCACCAATGCAATGAAAAAAAATTAACCTGTAAGTCATTATAATGAGGAACTTTCTCAAAATATTGACATAGTATCTCAAATGAGAAACTTTCTCTAAATTATGACAAACTTTATCAATATTTTGACTTATCTCAAGAGAGACGTCCTTAATGTTTTGACTATTTCAAAATAATATACATCTCAAACAATGAGAAACTTTCTATAAATAATGATTTAGTATCTCAAATTGTGAAACCTTCTCAATATTTTGACTTTTTTTCCCATCACACTGGCGGAAATGGGCTTCCGTAGAAATCAAGTTGGCCACAAGGCCCCATCCAGAACCCCTTGGCAGTGGTGGGGACTTGTCTCTGCTCTGCAGAAGAGACAGACAGGAGTGAGCATAGGGTCTGACTCTGTTTTTTGCCAGAAAAAGGATATACCAAGTTTGTGAATCCTCTCACCATACAGCGGTAGTTTACGTGCCTCCCTTGTAACCACCCCCTCCCCTCTCATAAATAGTCCTTTAGCCCTAACCAACTGTGAGCCAGAACATCAGTGCTGACAGTATAAATAATGGACAGAGCTTCCAGGTCTAAAAAGTGAAGCCAATGCCGAAGTGTCTTAAAACCTGCATTCTATGTAAAGGCCAGCAGGGGGAGCTCCATCCGCTGCAAAGAAACAATACCACTCATTCTAATGGAGAAATTACCCTAGTTTTCACTTGATGTATTAGCTCAGTAAACAGTTTNNTCCATTGGCTGCAATAACACACCGATCCCATTCACTCTAATGGAGAATGAGTCGACTTGACACTTCATTTATGAGCTCAGTAAACAGTTTCCTGATGAGTTTATTGTCTCAGTCGCTAGTTTAACACTTTCTTCCATACATTATGTTTATTTATTAAATGATGGTCCAATTTAGAGTAACATGATTGTGTGTGACCAGGCGAGCCGCCATTGTTTCCTGCTATGGATGAATCAAAACTGAACTCTTCTTTCACACCACCTCTCTTTGCTTCACCAGGTTCCCCGCTGGTCAAAAATCTAACCATAGCCATCCTCCAGCTGAGTGAGTCCGGTGAGCTGATGTATCTGCGGGACAAGTGGTGGGCCAGCAGCTGCGTGGGTGCTGACAAGGCCCAGACCTCCGAGGCCCTGCAGCCCCACAACCTGCGGGGCCTCTTCCTACTCCTGGGCCTGGGACTGGGTGTTGGGCTCCTGCTGGCCCTGCTGGAGCTCCTATCCAGGGCCCGCAACCAAGCTAAGGATGGCAAGGTAGGGAAGAGTATCAGCGTCAGTAACTGTTTTTTGAACAATGCTAGCAGCATGGATGGTAATGTCTGTTTGGTTCAGACTGAAATATATCAACAATGATTGGATGGATTCCAGTGAAATTTAGTACAGATAATCATGGTTCCCAGACGATGAACTGGCCCTTCCTGTTCTGCCCCTTTTTGCTCTGGGTTCCAGCGATTCTCCAATGACAGTTGAGCAGGCCAGCTCAGCCAGCTTAGCTACTTAGATATGCTTTGTGCTAGGCTTGTCTATGTTGAAAAGACAACAAAATTTAGAAAATGGTTAAAAGGTATCTAGCTTGCTAATCTACATCAATCATTAGCTAGCTAGTTAGCTGCTAATCTACATTAATTAGCTCGCTAGCTAAAAAATTATGTCGATTAGCTAGCAAGTTAGCCAGCACTTTGCTAACATTAGATTACTTAAGATGTGAGAATATATATATGTTGCTTTTATCTTATAACCATCTTCAAAATTTGGTGGTGGAGGCTAGCACATGCATATTTAGGTACAGAAAAGGAGAAAGTTGACTGAGGTTATAGGACATAGGAGGGGTCAATTGTAATAAATTTAGTGATCTCTTGACCATTGCTCTAGCGGCACTATGAGGTAAACATTTGTCCAACACTTTGGTTTATGGCCCAATACCTGCAAAAATTAAGCACAGCGTTAGTTCAGGCAGGCCACGAAGTCAAGCTCAGCTCTCAATTCCAGCTACATCCGCTGATCGCAGCTGGTCAGCTGATTCCCTCAAGCATCCAATTGGCAATTATCATTCATGGCGCCTGCCTATCTTTGCTGCTTCCTCTAGAAGCCTTTTTGCAACCCACCTCTTTCAGCTCCATCCTTTTATGTTTGTATCTTAATTAATCAAGTGTCCTCAATGTCATTTTCTGATTGCCATTGATGCTTGCTCTGTTCTGTACCCTGGGGGGTCTCTGCTGCTGCTCTCCTTGTCTTAAACTTTTCCATGTATGCACATGGAAGGGCAGGGAGGTGTGCTCTCCCTGCCTTAAGGTTTTCCACGTAGGCACGTAGAAAGGCAAGGAGGTCCAAGACCAGAGACATACCGCCAAATGTAATATTCTGTTTGGAATAAAAGTTATTTTGGCAAAAGTGGTCGTGACTGAAACAAGGCTTTGTAAGTAACATATTCTCTGTAGATGTTTTATTGTACATACTGCAGTTCACAGCATCAATTGTTTCAGTAAGCTTGACTTAATTGCACTCACTGTGTAGAGCTGCAGGAGTGGAGGGAATTGGTAGTAACTTGTCTCCAACTGAAAAAGTGAAATGCGTTTCTACTGTGGGCGGCGTTGAACTACATCTATGCAGAGTTGGGCTAACACCAGAGAGGGTTTGCTAACACTGATGTTATCAACTCTGTCAAAAAAACTCCAACACTGAAAATCAACTCAAAAATGTTCAACTCACTGCAATTTTTGCTGTGTATGCTATAGGCTAAATCCCAAATTCCACAAAAGTGGTTCCTTGAAGGACCTTGATTTTGGTTGGCCTGGAAACTAATTTCTAAATACAATTAATTCAATTGAAATACAACTTTTCACCCAATTATGTAATATCTAATTTCATTAACCCCTTTAACTCTACAATAGAAATGGTCCGCCAGTGCCTACATTGGTATTTTTGCTTATTGTGATGTAATTTCTTTGAGTATCTTGAAATTAGTCATAAAAGTGTTTTCTTCCAGCTCTGAAAGTCCTTCATGCGGTCTGTTATTTTCTAAAACTGTTCAGATATTTGATAAAAATGCAGATTCAACATCGTCACAAAAAGCAGCAAGTGTCAACCTACACAATGCAGCAGAGTCGATTTAGATTACAATCTTTTCATTCTCATTATCAACAGATTGTGTACTCTATACCACTATTATGTCAGAAGCTAAAATACAGTGTAGGACGACCCTATTGAGCTATAGACAGTTCATGCAGGAGGCAGATTTATTCCCTAAAAGATTTTTTATTGTTGACTTTTGCTGAATCCTGAACTGAACGGAACTGGTTCAAGAACCAGAGCTAATTTGGTGGGAAAGGGTCTGCTCCTGGTCCACATTTCTCTTTCCAATTAGTTCCCGTCTAGAGCCATGACTGTTTTGTTTTTAAAGTCTGCTTACTATCTTACTGTCACATTTTAGCTCATATCTAATGCACTATGTTCATAAATATGACTATGTAGCATGCTGATATTGTAACAAATTACAGGAAATGCCAAACTTATTTTAAATTACATTTCAGCAATCTCATAGTTCAATTATTTCTATTTGAAATAAATTGTGTTATTATGTTTTTAAATGAATTTATTACAGTACTGTATTCTACTGTATAACCATATAGATATAGAGTATATATCTGTATAAATTCCCCAGCCACAGGTGCATGCTCTGTTTAATGTTTTATTATGTGCTTGTTGTCAGCTCATGAAACATAGCATGTGCTCATGTTTGGAAATTTTACAGTATTGTGGCAATGCATGCTAAGCAGTGCATCTAAGAAGAGTGCCATTCTTCTGTCTGGGATAAACAACAGTTACATTAAAGAGTATTAAGTCTGGTTGCACAGATGCCTTCTGCTTATTTTTAGGAAGTATACTTAATGGTTACAGAAGGCATCCCAAACTGCTTTCTAAAGAAGAAGATTTTATTTTATAAATGGATAATGCCAGAACTGCAGACATTCTGTCCTTTTGCGGCTAGGCTTAATTAACTCTTTAGTTTGGGCCTCGCTCATTTACTGACTGACAGAACAGAGACTGTCGGCAGATTATTCATCATAATTCATGGAGTATAATTTAATAACTGTTTTCATTTCGTTTCATCAAAGAGAAAATGTCAGCCATGAGCGATTTGTTTAGAAAGTCCTTGTGATAACAGAAATGACCAAAATACAAAGAACTATTCAGTCTGGAGGTAACAATTTGTACTCTACTCCGGAAAATTAAGTATTGCACTTCTATGGAGTTGGGGGGCTTGTAAGAGACACAAGATGGTCAGATAAATATCCTGACATTTAGTCAAATGCTGGGTCCTATGTTTTCCCAGAATGTACCTCAGAACTTGTCTTTCCTTACACTATTCCTCCCTTTCAAGCACCATACCCTCATTTTGTAATGTAGTTGTTAAGCTAAAACTGAGATAATCCTGAAGGGTATTTTTTCACACTTTATGAATCTTCCTCCAAACCCATAGTGGACATTATAAAATCTTTTTTCACATCCTTGCATGATGAGCAAATCAGTCCAGTGCCCATATTGTACAACTGACCACAAAATCAATCTCTCTCTCTGTCTCTCTCATTCTCTCTCACCCCAACTAGTCGAGGCAGATGACCACCCACCTAGAGCCGAAGG